GCCCTGGCGCAGCCCGGCGCCCACCTGCCCCTGCCCGGCCAGCGTCTTCTCCAGGTCTTCGATGCGCGTCTGTGCTCGCTGCGCCTCCGCTTCCAGCTGCTCGCGGGTCTGTGGGCAGCAGACGTTCAGACTCTCCAGGGGCTGGTCGTGCCGTGTGGGCAGCGGTCAGGGCTGCCCCTGCCGCCCGGCTGGGTGGACCTCGCCTGGGGAGGGCTCAGGACCGTCGGATGCAGGGGGAGGCAGCGGCTGCCAGGCAGCCCCAGGGGCGGGTGGGGGCTGCCCGGCGGAGGGCTGAGGGGGGCAGAGGGGGGCTGGAGGGACTGAGGGGGGCTGCCCGGGTGAGGGCAGGCCCTGTGGCTGCTCACGCTCACCCCGCGTCCCGACGAGCCCCAGCTCCCCCAGCCCTGCCTGCGCCCCCTGCCCCGACTCACTGCCCCTTGCCCAGCGCCCGGCCCCAGAGGGTGCCCTGCCCATGTGGCTTGCAGGCGCCCACCACGGCCACCCGTGCTCCCGGAAGCCGGCGGGGTAGCAGGCAGTGGCCTCGCCTAGGGGGCGGCGTCCACCCAGACCGGCCAGGGCCAGCGCTGCTTCCCGCCCCCGCCCTCTCCCCTGAGGGCCCGGGACAGCTCGCGGGGTGGAAGGCGCGTGGACCTTAACTTCCCGCTCTGCGTCCAGCGTCCCTCCGACCTGCTCCTGCAAGAGGGCGTAGGCGCGCTGCAGGGCCTGGTACTCCATGGTCAGCTGCCGGAACCGCAGCTCCGTCTCCTCCTTGACCACGCCCTGCAGGCACTCGGCATCAGCCCCACTGGCCACGTGGGGTCGGGGGCAGCGGCTGTAGCCCGCCCCCCGCGCGCCCACGCCGGCCACCGCTGGGCCGCTGTGAGGGCCGCGGTCACCTCCTCCAGGTCGTCGTCCGGGGTGCACGGGGTGTGGTCGGTCCGGTCCGTTTGGTAAGAGATAGATGAGCCGTCGGACTCCAGGGAGGCCTCGTCGTCGTACCCGAAGAAGGTCT